TCAGTGGTCTAGACATCCTGTGGTTGACTGTGTGCATCTTGTTTGTCTATCTGACTTGGTTCAGCACACATAACTTTTAATTTTGCAACACCAAATCTATGTAAAGAAAAGTTTCCCTTTTTTTGTTAATACATTTCTGCCTCTATATATCAGCATCAAGACTGTGAAGTACATGAACACTGCTGTGACTAAATGCTTCCTCTACTGTTGTTACCGTACAAAGTGTCTTCCAGATACTACACACCAGTACTACACCCATTTATTCCTAATTCACCTGGAGCACTCACTTATCCTTGGCGTAAGAGCAGTTTTCCCGTGAAGGAAACGTTCAAACTTCCACCCACAACGGAAGAACACTGCAAGGGAGTTTTCATTAAGTTCCCTTACAAGCCACAGGACAAGGATGGAGCGTGTCTCAAAATGGCTGCGGTAGATATGGCTAGAGAGGAGGCTGCCACCCAGCTGTTCACAGAGAAGAACCGGACTATCACAGGCAGTTCAACACTGGAACCTGTGGGCAGACTCTTTTACTGAGTAGTGTTTGTTAATGTCTGAGGGAAGGGGAGGCCACCACATACATGTCAGCAAGAGAGGTTGATGTGATCCTGCTTCCGGTTTAGTCCTGTCCCTCAATGATGTTGAAGACAAATAACAGACACCTCAGTACTTAAAAACTAACTTGTGCCCATTTTAGCAACATGAAGCGCATCCATTGCCGGTTAGACCATTACTTTTCTGGAGTCAACTGGTTGGCACACATTTAAAAGACCAGAGAGAACATTTTAGGACAAAGGCAAACCTGGTGAGTGTTTTAGTATTTAACTAATAATGTTTCCCTGAAAGAACAGCCTGTGGTTAATTCTGACTACGTGAAACAAAGATGAAACAGTTCAATTTCTGATAGCCCATAAGAAACATTATTATTCCTGGGCAACAAAGGTTTGTGAAAAAAAAGCTTTTTTAGCTGCACTAACTATCAAAAGCTAGAGTTCTATTAAATAACTTTTTTTTGAGAAAAGACTTTATGATTATACTTTTATATTTGCCCAGTACTCAACATAAACAGCTTATTTGTCCAAACAAACCGCTTTTGTTTGGATGGACACAACTGTCCAACCACCTGTGGTTATTGTTTATTGAGGAAAGTCTTCTCATAACTGTAACAATTCCTCATGTTACACCCTGAGGGCAGCTGAAAATAGAGAATACAGACAACAGGGAAAGAATCTCAGCAATTTAAGCTGCAATATTTAACTGCATCACCACAGGGAGGGAATACACAATACACACAACAGAAGAGAGATTACAGAAATCAGGGAGGAAATCTCTGCATAGTTTGCTGCTTTGTTCGGTTTAACTAAACCACAATAAACAACAACATCAACAAAAACTGAGCATTATAAGCTTTACAAATGAAGTCTTTATTGCAGGGCTATTGAGTTAAACCTAACTCTATTTTCACTGTGCTTCAATTTCAAACAAAACAAAATCCTGCTTTGTAACTAATTTGCTGTTGTCTGACCCTTGGCAACAAATCACTGTTTCGTGTCAAAACATCCGAGAAACTCACACAAACTGCAGAGACAGCATGTACCAGTCACCATCACAGCTGAGGCAACAGTGTAGAGCTTAATGGTCTCTCTCTCTCTGACACACACATACACACAAACACACACCATTAGTTTGTGTATGGGTTCTCTACATCATTACCATTCCCTTCAGCTTTCAATTTATCTTCCTGAAATCTAAATGATTGAATCTCCTTATCAGAAATTGCTTCTTTAAAAATTACATTACAGACTTAAAAATTCTGCAAGGCTGTAAACCTTCAAGTCTGCTTATCCTCGTTTGTAGCATATTTTCTTTTTTGTGTCTGAAGAGAAAAACCACCCCCTGCTGTGGGAGACTTACAGTAATAAAACTAAAATAGCCACATGTTCTGTCTTCAGCTGCAAGTCATGCTGCATTTGAAAACAACACAGAAAAGTCATATTTTGGTGCTTTTTTTGGTGCAGATGCAGTTGTTTTCAAAAATGCCATTAGGCATCCATGTACATGTAAACTGCTGACGTAACTGCCTTTGTTCCTTCCTCACATTTTAATGGTTAAACCTACCATTCTTTGATTCTTGACAATTGGCTTGGACAATATCAAGGTATTACGGTATACTGGGGTATTTAGAAACCGGTATGACTTTCAATACCGTCAAAATACATGCTCCTCTGATGCTATATTGAGTTATCTATTACAGTGTCACTCTCAATGTAGGTGGGCGACACCACATGAAACTGCCTGACATCATCTTTAATGCAACAATGTGATAACCCCATGCTGTCAGCATGCAATCCAAGACAATTACTGTCCCAGTAGTTTCACTGATGGTAAATTAAAAAAGTTAAAGCAGGGCAGAGGGTTAACACCCCTTTTCTGTGCTGGCAGGTCAACAACAGAACTACTGCCTCCCTTCCAGCCAGGTGCGTGACTGGCTTCAGTCTCTGTGCAGCCAAACAATTAAAGAAAAGCCCTGCCAACTGGTGGTGGTCGCATATCTGTTTGTGTGTACATGGCATGTCTGTGTGTGGTGAAGGAATAAACAGCTGAAACTGTTATCAGCTTCAAAGAGTCCATGGAAATGCATGCTAGTGTGATTAACACTGCGTCACCCACAACAGACAGACAACTGTCTGGCAGCTGCCTCTAGCAGCTGAGCTCATGGAGTGGTAAGTTGGAGGGTCTTCAGAGGCATTACCCAACCCAAACAGTCACACGCAGCAATTAAAGCTGAGTCAAACACTGTTTCTCCAGGTCACAACATAAGCAGATACTAACTGACAAAACTCCCAGGACAGCAGCAACATTTAGAAGCCGTATACTTTACTCAAGAAGAGACATTAAAGGAAGTCAGCAAGTGGGGCGACAGACCACTTTTGTCTAAGAGAGAATCAAACCTTGGTAGAAAAATGCAGACTTCAAATGTCCTTCGCGTTCACCAATCCACCAATGGGATTTCACATGGCTTAAAGTTTAGCTTCACTTCATTTCACCAATTTACACTGCAATCAAATGTACTTTTGTAGACTGGTACGAAGAACTAACTGATGACATGTGGCTTAATTACCTGCACTGTGGACTGTTGCAACCCTATCTGCCTGAACGCCCTGCCTGCATGATGGGTTTTCACGTTGAACTTCACATAAAAAATTGAAGAGAGCAAGACTGACAAATCCACAGGTGGTTTGAAAGGTGACAATTGCTACCTTGGTATGATGTTCTAAAGCCGGTACACGTTTAATAATTGTGTGGGTGCACCCAGAGGAGAATTACTGCCACACACTGTTACTTCAGCAACTCTGTTGTTGAAGAATGTTTGCATCAGGAGGAAAGACAAACTTGCCTCATGACAAGACACCGTCCCACAACAATTCTACCAACTTAGAACAATCAATGAACTACAAACCAGACGATGCTGTGGATTAATAGCAAGTCAGAGGTGAAACCCGCAGTAAAATCTGAGAGGGCTGTATCCTTGAAGAGAACACCAATTAAAACACTGCTTGATTCTTAACAATATAATCATCTTATTGTGCCTTGGGGTCCCAAATCTATTAACTCCAGTGACGGCCTACTTGCAATGTAAACTTTCTCAGAAAATGTTGACATCAAAGGGAACAAACCACAGCAAACTAGCGTCCCACTTCCAGAATGGCAAAAAAAAAGTACTTAAAAGGGATTAAAAAGGCCAATTCCAAACTGATTCCTTACAGACTGAGTCTAGCAAGCGAGGTCGAGGATCTAGGAGGACCACATGATGGAGAGACTTAAATTAGCAAACTGTGTGTTTTTGTGGTCTTGGCAATGGGGAGATCCCAAAGGAGAGCTAATGACTGTAGTGGTATCTGGCTTAGGGGCCAAGTTTCCTTGACTGCTTTAAAGTTGCCTCCAGTCCATAGCCACCATGTCATGAGCAACATATGCTGAGCTGTCTTGCAATTATACCATTATCAAGGCTTTTCCTCCCACTGATTTCTATTATATGCTGCTGAGCAGATTTTACAGGAACTTTGTCCTAAAGTCTGACCTATAAGAATGCAAGCAGCAACGTTAAAATCAATGGGGTTGACTAATAAATAATTGTGGCGTTCACACTACGTGACTGATCGGTCACAGTGGGTCAAACACTACGCGAGCTGACAGCGGCTGTGTCACCTGATGCTGGTCTCCAAACCATGTTTTGTCAAAAAACACATGTGAAATGTGAAACAGGATATGACACAAACCTACACAAGAAAAAGCTGTTGTTTGTTATTATAAAGATAGCAATTATAAAGACAAAAATATGGATGAAAGACTAGATTAGCACACGCAGGTAGCAGGGATCATCCATACTACAGAGAGAGCTGAAGATCAGTAAAAGTGTTTTGTAGTGAAAAGGTAGCTGCCTTCTCTCATTGGCTGGATGTGGATGTCGAGTCAGCTGACTCCTCCAGATATTTGGCATGC